AACTTGAAACCATGTAAAAAAAAATTTGAAAAAGTCAATACTTTTCGAGATAATTAGTGTATCCACTTAAAAGAATCACTCTGTATATAATTATTAATACGCAGGTTATATGTTAATTAATCTAAAATTTTTAACACAGTTGATCATACTGTATTATCCGTATTCATATATAAAAATAAAATTGTTAATATTATAATAYACATTGAATAAAAATAATATAATATTTTGTGGATATTATCTTGAAATCAATTGATTTATGTCTTACACCCTAGATATGTATAAGTATAATGTATATACTTTGTACAGGGTGATTCTTTTTTAAATGTACATGTTGCAGTATACATGCTCTCTTGAAATAAATAAATTTATATATATTTTTAATTTAAACGTTTTGTTTAATAAAATCAATACATCCATTGCTGTTTAGAATCTAAAATATATTTATTACTATGAATATAATACATAATAACCTATAACCCGTTTATTAATAATTAATAATTATATATATATATATATATGAGTACAATATGACCAATAATGTGTAAACATTTTTTAAATAATACCTAATTTAATACTTTAATGTTAATTGTTATATGTATATTTATTATTTAATTATTGGAATTTGGCTTTTTGTCCCCTGGATTTTTTTTCTTGGCTTTTTTCCGTGGTTTTTTTGTTCGTGGATTTTTTTTCCTACATTCGGCAATTTGAGTACTTAGATCTAAATGGTCCAAATTGCCACCGAAAATGCCCGAAGGTAATTCAGGGCCTATTGAATTGGCTCTCGATTTTGAGTAAATAAGAATTCGACTCTTGAATTGGCTTCAGAAAAATGTATATTTGAATTGGCTTCCTAAACTGTAAACTATTATTATTCAACTAGGGGTTTTCATTTACTTTTAAGACGTCGACCTAATATAGCCTGGCAATTTGCACTCAAATATAGTATATCGCAGGATATACGACCTATATTATTATGTTTATACCTATAAATATTTATTGAATTACATAATTATATAATGAGCTTCAATAATACTTAATCATATGCATAGAAATATAATTAAAATTTAATAAATTACTACTCTAATATTATTCAACATTACATCATTACATCTATAGTATGTATACTTTATAACAATATGCTATACTACTCTCAGGGCATAATGCCTTTCTTTAACTTTAAAATATTAACAAAATTTTGGTAACCAATATATTTTTGAAAAAAAAAAATAGTACCTAGGAAGCCAATTCAATAGTAAATTCTTGAGAGCCAATTCAAAGGTACTTATTAAGGGTAAAATATTGACTACCTGCACCTGTATTGAGGAGCCAATTCAATTTCACCGGGTAATTCAAGTGAAAAATGGTCAACTTTTTTGATTCGGGAAGCAATTTATTTGAGAGTGCAAATTTACCATGTATCGTCTTTAAGTATAAGTAGTACCCATGTATGATTATGTTGAATCAGGAAATCATTGTACATGGTGCTATTCACGTGCATTGGTTACAATACAATCTCTATATCGTGAATGGGAGTCTTATAATACTTTATTTTAACGTCACATTTTTAATAACGAAAGAGGCCGTTAAAATCGAAAACCTACTAGACAGAATATGAGCCTATAAACATTATAGGGTGTTTGCAGATGGTCGTCGGTCACGATTTGTTCTGTTGTTGGTGTTCGGTAGTACGACTATAATGCCCTGACGGAAGAGCACGATTATTTAGCAGACATCAACACACACCCACCCACACATGGTACTTGGACCAAGACATCCTCACAATAGTGCTCGCATGTTTTTTTTTTTGATCTCCATGTAGGTATCATTTTATGATTTGAATTACCAAGTATAAAATATATGTATCTAATCTTTGTAATCAGCATAATAGGTACTTTAATAATCTAATAAGATTTGTACAATCATTTGTGTGAACATCTAAAATTACGATCAAGTTTCGTAAAAAAAAAAAAATTACTGGAAAAAAAATAGCTCGTTTTACTTAAGTTCATTCGATAACATTTTAATAGTGAAATATCTTTTTTGGCCAACTGAATAGAATAATTGTTTCTGGATTTTCAAACTGTTGATTGATTTTTTTTTACAAAAATAGTATTTACACTATTCCATAATGGGATAAGAACATAAGTTCCAGGACGAGATAAGCAAAAAATCAATCGTATCGCTTAAAAGCTCCAACATTTCAGATATCTGTAATTTCGTTTTAAAAATTGCAATTTTTAATCATATTGTTCAGAAATGCTAAGCATCGACAAATTTACCGCCGGAATACAGTAAGGGTGACATAATTTTTGTCTTATAATATTTTACAAACACTATTACACAAATAAAGGTATTTTATGAATTTTGTTAAATGAACAAAAACATAGATATTTAATAAAAACTGCCAGTGCAGGTTACATAATGTGTCATTGAAGTGTCCCGAAAAATAATGTTCTGCTAGAAGAATATAAATGAATAAAAAACCATGACCACAATAATTATTCGTGGTGAGCATTTACATATTATATATAGTGTACTACCGTGACGCTCAGTGTTACACATTTTCTTAATTATTATTATGTAAATTTATATTTATTGTTATTATTATTATTTCATTGTCATAATTACAATTTTGCTTGATACTGATTATGGGCGATTTTAAATATTTTAAAATATATACATAATATTGATATTGGTGAAAATTATAATATTTCTTTGTTATATGTTTGGCGTTTTTTTCATACTCGCTACTGACTTGATGATAAGTCATTTTTACACTTTTGGCACTTCTTATCTCATTATACATCCGTTCCAATGACTTTTAATACTGCATATTTTTGCTTATTATTTTATATGTACAGCTAGTATTGGAAACTGATTTACAAATTAAAACATAAATTCATGTGAATATGCATAAACATAGAGGAAGTTAATTCAAATAGTGCTTACACGCATGTACAAATTAAAGTAGGTAGTAAATTAAATTTGCATATTTTGTATCATGTAAGCAACCTTTGTGGTGTCATGTGTAAATATAGGTATACTAATATGTACTTCAAAAGTATATTCTAATGTGACGATCGACGCGTAACAAAATTCAAGGTCGAAGAGAAGTATTAAAATCGATCAAAATAGAATAAATCATCATATTATACAATATTGACAATGATATTAATTCGCCGAATGAGTTTTTTAATTCTTAATTGACCGAACATTAGCCACCATTTATTCCGCAAGTGCTTATCCATAGTTTTTTTTAACAATTTTTTTTTTTTTTTTTTTTGAAATTCAAGTCTGTGACATTCTCTTCTGATTTGTGTACAGAAGTTAAATTTATTATTTTATAAATTGACAAGAAAAAAAGAACGATGACAAGTAATGGCGAATCGATTACTGAAATACAACAATTTTTTAAAGGTTCTAACGTTTTTGTAACTGGTGCTACTGGATTCATCGGACACGTTCTAGTCGAAAAACTTCTTAGGTATACTAAATGTATTATTTTTTTATTTTATTTCGCAATACAATTTTAGTAAATAAATGTAATCAATCCACACGTTCTTTGAATCGCGTGGTATGAGTTTTGTAGATATCGTATAGATGATACGAGGATATAATAATGGGGCTAAACAGTTAATAACTCGAGAGAGAGTATACCTAAACATATGTATGAAACGTTAAAGAAAAATCTTTAACTTAATTTGTATATATGTATATGATAATGGTAATGGACAATGGTGTCTAATAATCTATAATAATAATAATATGTTACGTTGTTTCAATGTCCKGATTTACGTATTGTTGCCGAAGGGTGCCTCAAAAGTGAGCGTTTGATAATTGATAGGTATTATATACTTAATAGCTATATTAGAATCGTGTCGACAGACCGTACGCGTTTATTTAATTAGTCGTAAAAAGTATTTAAATCACAAAATAAACGCGCATCGTGTATTGCACAGTTATTAGGATTTAGTCGAGGACAACTTTTTCTGTTTTCAGTCTTTTTTTGATGTTTCTCACTAAAAAAAAAAAACGCCACTTTTGTATTTTATATCTGCAACACGACTCTGGGTGGTGATTTTTAAAAATAGCCTAGGTACTAATACTAGGTATTTCTAATAGCATGACGTCACAAGAAAAAAACGGTCCTCGTGATCGATATAATGTTCTACGTGCAGTTTTCTCATCGTCATTCAATATCATGCAATTATTCAACGATAAATTCGATAATAAATTACATTTATTCGCCAAATCTTTTTGACTATTAGTTTTTTAAATTTTAATTTATTTACGAGCTTTCCCCCTAATCTTTAATAATTGTGAAGTTATAAAAATGACACGGTTTTAACGGTTAAGGCAATAATACACAATCGAAATATATGAATTTCTCTTGTTTATTTACCACTATAATAGATGTACGATTATTACACATTTAAAATATGTATACACCACTGCAGTCGTCAATACTACAATGATTAACCACAAGGCACATAAGCGGTGTACGGGGAAAAAAAATTGGTATGGGATACAATATGCAAAAATAATCAAATTTGTAAATAAATGTATTTTAGTGCGAGGTGATCGAATGAAGAATATTTAATAATTATTCATAAATAATTCCATCGCGAAATACTGTTTCCGAACTTCTACCACCTGCAATGAAGTAATTTCTGCTTATATATACGCAGTTTTAACTATATAGATACAGCCTAGCTATAATAGGTACTACCTGCAAGAGATAAACGTCTGCAGATGATGGTGTACCACGCGGCCATAGTTTTCTTAAATTCATAGTCGTCCTTTTTTCCCCCCAGATCATGTTTGGTGAACAAGGTGTACCTCCTAGTCAGACCGAAGAAAAACAAAGACCCGCAGACTCGGTTACGCGAAATGTTCAGTGCCACGGTGAGTTAGTCGTCATAGCTTTCGTTTAATATATATGCACGACACGAAACGAGCAAGTGTTTGAAAGTTGCTAAAATTGATGTTTTTTTAGCTGTTCACGCGACTGTGGAACGAACAACCGGATTTCATCGAAAAAGTGTTGCTCATCACTGGCGATTGCGCGAAACCTAATTTGGGCCTATCGGCTACCGACGAAGAGTTTATAGTCGCCAACATGGATATCGTCATTCATTGCGCCKCCACGATCACTCTCAACGGACCACTTAAGCGCACGACTTTCGTCAACGTTAGGTCCACCAGAGATTTGCTGTTGATCGCTCGGCGTATGCATAGGCTCAAAGTAATTATGAAGAGTTTTCAATCGATTTATTATATTATTCACTTCGTCGTATACAATCAAGCGTCATACGATCGCTTATCGATGTTTTAGATTCTGAGCGGAGCGATGAATGTATTGATTTTATCATGATGTGTGAGTTTTTTTTTTTGTGTCATCACGTTTTGGGGCAGTAAAAATGCTTCGATTTTTGACTTCAGTACCTCGTTCGATCAGAAAGTGAATCTAATTGGTACTTTGGGGGTCCAAAGTATTAAAATTCTTAATACTTTTCTAAATAATCGAGAAACACAAACTAAAAATTAAGGGAAAAACGGGAAATTTTACGCACACTCATTTCTCGACAAAATCGATTTTGGTTTTTTATGTAACTTTAAAACAAATGACCATAGATACATGCGATTTTCAACGAATGTTTATATAAGTATATTATATCCACCGTGCAATTTTCAAAATTTTTCGACTCAAGTTGAACTATTTATAGGCATTTGAAATTTTCGATCATTATTAGTTTTTTTTAAATTAATATCGATAACAATTTATTTGTTCGGCAGAAAAGCTTGAAAATTTAATACAAGGCTCTTAACATATTGTTACAATAGCAGTTGGAAAATAAAATGAATTCATAGTCACATATTTTTTTTTATAAGCATTCAAAGTTTGAATTTTGACAAAATATGTAAAAATCACAAAAATTCTCAAATTATTTTAAGCTAGAAATTCATAAAAAAATTTTTTTTTAAATCTAAGATTTCAAAATTTAATAAAAGATTTCTTACAAGTTTTTCAATCTTTATCACAAATAAAAAGTTCACCGGAGTTTCAAATTAAATTTTTATGAGCATTTGAAATTTAAATTTTTACAACATTGGATTTTCACTTTTAGCAATTTCCTTATTTTGGTGTAACTCTAAAACAAATGACCGCAGATACTTGAAATTTTCACTGAATGTTTATATAGGCATTTTCTATATTTGATAAAATTTTCAAAATATTTAAATTTGTTTTGAGCTATAAACTGACATTTTAATTTTTCAACTTTTTTGGTTTTTTTTACTATAAATATCGATAAAAATTTATTTGTTGGGTAGAAAAGCTTAATACAAGGCTTTAATTATTTTAAGCTAGAAATTCATAAAATATTTTTTTTTCAAATATATGATTTGAAAATTTAATATAAGGCTCCTAACATATTATTTTTACAATGGCAGGTGAAAAATAAAATAAAAATATATGCACAATTTTTATTTACAAGCATTCAAAGTTTGAATTTTGACAACAGACGTAAAAATCATGAAACTTTGTAAATTATTTTTCACTAGAAATTCATAAAAAGTTTTCCTTTTATATCTATAAGATTTGAAAATTCAATACAAGGCTCCTAACATATTTTTACAATAGCAGTTGAAAAATAAAAGAAATACATAGTCACAATTTTTTTTTTTTACAAGCATTCAAATTTTAATTTTGATAACATACGTAAAAATCACGAAAATTCGCAAATTATTTTAAGCTAGAAATTCATGAAAAATTTTCTTTTTAAATTTAAGATTTGAAAATTTTAAGAATCTCTAATATATCCTAGACAGATCCTAGACAGAAGACGGTTTTTCTTCGCTCAGAATCGTTTTTCGTACCTAGACAATGATATAATATCATTGGATTCAAATTTAATTCCATCCATTACAGTAACCCACTTGTAACCTACTGTACAGCAGAGCGACATCCACGACTTACCCGCTTTTTTATTTATTTATATAGTCGTTTGTGCACGTGTCCACTGCGTTTGTGAACCCTACTCAATCGGTTACCGAAGAAATAATTTACGATTGTCACATACAAGGTGACGTTTTGATCAATTTGGTCGAAAACTTGTCCGATTCGCTCTTGAATTCGATAACGCCCGAGTAAGTCCCGACCTTTCACTTATTAATATACTATTTACCTGCAACGGTATATGAGTTGATAATATTTTGCATGTTTTGATATCGTTTTAATCCAAATTATCTATATGTTGTTCAGATGTTTAGGAGCGTGGCCAAACACGTACACGTTGTCAAAGTGCGTCGCAGAGAATCTCGTAAAGCAATATGGTCAAAACATGCCAATATGTATCGCTAGACCGTGCGTTGGTAACTATATAACATATATATATATATATAGCACAAATTAGTTTTTCTCCTTTATTTCACTTGAAAATTATCCGATTCCATTATTTCATACATAGCCATATTTGGCACAAAAACTAAATATATTGTAGGTATCGATATATTTTTTAAGCATTTTTCCGTGTCAACTTGAACCCAAACCAATACACCTATTTTTTTTTTTTAATGATTGATTTGTGCAGAAATGGGTTAAACTACCTGCAGACCCATATTTTTATATCATCATTAGGTACCTACGTGAGCATACTTGGTGAATCATCCTGTGTGACATCACTAAAATGTACAACTGATAGCCGAAAAGTTGAATTGGAAATCATAAGTTTGGTTCGATTAATCTTTTGTTAAATAGCAATAAGTTCTGAGTGTCAAATTTTTCTAATCCTCGATGTGTATATTATAGTTATTATATTATTATTTCTTATTAAAATAATTATATTTCTGATTACTAGTTGTGGGCCATCTTGTAATATACGAAAGCGATGCAACTCTTACCTGCAGCTAGCAGGTTGTGTAGGAATTTTGTAGAAAGACTGAACATTTATCAAAATTTTATAACATAAAGCGATTCTAGTAAAATCGAATTTGACAAATAAATACATAAAGCAGTGGATGGTAAAAATTGGTAGAACGTTTATTATTTGTTATAGTTTGTTATAATATCGTTAAAATTGCTTGACATTGATATGATTGTCCAAAATCATATTTTTGAACACAATAATATGTATTCTGTAGATACAACAGTAACATTATAGTTAATTATGTTCTGATTTTGTTTTCAACAGTGACGTTCACTAACGAAGAACCAATACGTGGCTGGGTGACCACAATGAAAAGCGTACCTGGTTTATGTATGGGCGTGGGTTTGGGAGCTATACACGTGGTGTACGCGGATCCAAATGTTCAAGCAATAATCATGCCGGCCGATAACGTAGCGAATATGATTATTACTGCAGCTCATCATGCGTCCAAAAAACGGTAAAATCAATGAACAAAAAAACTCGATATTTGAATGTAATATAATATACCCATATTTAACCAAGACTAAGTTTGTTGTTTTAAAATTTAAACAAATATACTTAATACAGGAAAGATTCATGAATAACCATGATTTTATAATATTATGAGTATTTTTTGGGGGATATTACACATTACTTCAACTAGATAACATTCGTCGTCTTGGAGGTGTTACACGAATCTTTTTTTTATATAGGAAAAAAAATTACATATTGAAACTTTAATACAACATTATTCGTAAATATGTAAATTAAATTTTCAATGAATAAAAAAATGTACGAAAAAATTATTTAATATTTGACTTCAACAACACGTATCCATCTCCAAAAGCCTAGTTGTTTCTTTTTAATTTTATAAGTATATCTTTTCTGTATTAAATTAGTCAAAACTATCAAATTTCTGCTTATTAATTTTCAATAAACCTGAACATAAAAAAAAAAAACCATTAACATTAGTTAAGCTTCCTAGGTTTTCTTTTAAAATTCTTCTTCCAATTTAAAATGAATTTATATTATGTACTGTTTGACAGATAAAATAATGTTTAATTTAGGTAATTATTTGTCATTATTATATTTCACATACAATTTTTAATATCTGTGCTTTTATTTTATCAGTTCAAAACCTACAATTCCAGTATTCAATCACGTTCCAAACCATATGGCACCACGTTTGACATATGGCCAGAGTTTAAATTATATCGTAGACATTATATCGGAAAAAAATATTCATTCGGAAAAACAGGTATACATTTCAATAGATAATTACCTAGGTAATAAAAACTATTTATAACTCGCTTCAAAATGTAAGTGTGATAAAAAGTCTATAGCAGTTGTCTATATAATATTTTTTTATTTTTTTATTTTTTTTTTATTAGCTTCCAGTAAAAACTATTATAGCTCGACAATTATATAAGTACATGATATAGATACAATGACARTGTGGTGTTACAAAAGTATACATTTACAATGGTATAGATAAGAATAGAGAAATTATACATTGAGAAGAGTCTTGGTAATTTATATAATATTAATTAATGATATAAGAGTAATGAAATAGAATCGTAAATTATGATGAATGCATAGTTAATTTGATAATGATAATATATAACGAGCTGATTGGGGGAAATGGAACTTGGATTATGGTGTAAGCTGTTTTTGTAGAATAGTGGTGAGGAGGGAAATGAGTGGATTTATTAGAGCGGAAAGTTCTGTGATAAACTTAGCTAACAAATTATTATTTGGGAAATTATTATGTGATAAACTATTATTGGAATTGGTGATAGAGGCATAGGAAGCTTCGGGAAAATGAGGAGGCATTTGGAGAGAGGGTAGCGTAGGAGCAGTATTCGGATTTAAGTAATTTGATTTTTGTTGAATCGGCTGCGAACGTTTCTTATGTTTGAGAAGTTCATTATATTTTGTTGCTTTGAGGTTTGCTTGGTTTTTGATAATATTTTTGTACACGGGACAACCCTTGTAGGAGGCTGTGTGTGGTCCAGAGCATAATGCGCATTTCGCGGGAGTGGTAGGTGATTTTGAGCATTCGGAGCTATATAATAATTTTACCTTTAAATTTTATTAGAAGTCGATTCACTCTAAATTTTAAACTAACAGAGCTACACGTGTTCTGCTGAGCGTAAAATTTGCTATGTTACGCATTTGTAAGACGGAGACAATACATGCGGGTATCACGTCTTTTTAAACACTATTAAAATGTTCAGCTTTTATCATAGGTTAAGATATAAGGCCTAAGAATTGAAAATTTAAAACGAAGTTTCACATACGTAGTTCATTCTGTAACAAAAAAATCTAAAAATTATACAAATATAGTTTTTTTTATAGGTACCTACATTTTTATTTATTTTTTTGTTTTTGAAATCATAACAAAATAATTAATACAGGATAAGATATCCTAGACTAACAAACCATCTCCGCTCAGAATCGTTGTTCGTAAAAATGATAATGTTATATCATTGAATTCAAAGTTAATACCAAATATTATAGTGACCCACATTTGTAACTTACTGTACCTACAGCAGAACGACATCCACTTACCTGGTTGTTTAAATTTGTTTTTATGCTGCAGGTTTGGAAACCAAACGTGGTATTAATAAAATCAAGAGTACTATTTACTATACTCTTTTTTTTATATCATTATTTACCAGCATATCTAGTTGACATTTGTTTGTGCATTACAGGGAAAACACCAAGGTAAATATAGTATATTTTATTTAAATTGTAAACATTTGACTTCTTGGCTATTAGTATTCTTTTATTTTAGGTGACTTTGTGTGTGAGTGTGGGGGGTGAGAGGTGATAAATCCTCCTAAATTATAACGAAGATTTGTTTTACAATTGTCAAAAATATTTATTATTATTATTTTCCATGGAATTTGAATAATTTTTGATGTATCTAAATAATTAATGTACAGGAATAGGTATGGTATACGATATATTATAGGTACCACCAGTTATAACTTAATGCTATAAATTAAAATAATATAATTTCAAATGGCTAATTAAGATGGAGAAAAAACAATGAGTACCTACGTCAGCCCCCTCCCCTCAAGTGCGTTTACATGGTTTGGGAATTTCTAGGTTAGCAGTGCGATGGTTTCGTTGCACTTTGTCAATTACAACTTGTCTATGTCCATGGTATAAAAATGAAGAAAAAATAAGATCTATGCCTATATTTATATTCAATACAACATTAATAAAATAAGTCATATAATTTAAATAAGCATCCTTTTTGAAGCACCATCTGTATACACAATACACATATTAAATATTATATCGAGAGAGATTAAGCCCAATACATGGCAGTTATAAATTTATAGGTACCTTTTTTTTTTCCCGTTCAAAAAACCGAGAACGGGTGAGAAATGTTAAGCACAATACTGCCACCCGTTTGGGCGCAGTATAAATAATTTACCTGAAAATTGTTAACACGTTTGAGCGCATTTATAAAGACACCTTTGGGCACAATAGGTATTGCCACTAGTAATTGAAAATCTTGTGTAATCTAATGTAATTAGTACTTAAACGTTTGATCTGTGGACTATGTCCTAATCATTGGAAAATACCACATCAAATATAGCTATAGATATTTATCTACTATAGTATAGATAATATGTAATATTATATTGGTCTCTGTTCGCCGGTTGATAGTTTATGATCGTTGCAGTGTATTGAGACTTAAAAGTTGAAAAAAATATATTAAATTACATTAAAAAATTAGGACCACGTTTTGCGGGGAAAAAAATGTATTAATTAAAAGAAAATAATATATAGTATAGAATAATATTGATAAATAAAAAATGTTTAAAAAAAAAATATATATTTTTGGAAGACTATTGAGCCAACCTCCTCGGTGTCTTCTGGGTAACGCTAATAGGCTTAGATTTAATAAAATATGTTAATATATGCAAAGAAATAAATGCACCCAAACGTATTATTATAAAGGGAAATATTACGCCCAAACGTGTTATGGATTTACGCCCAAAAGTGTTTTGTTTTGGGTAAATGCGACCAAACGTATTTTCCCCAAATTTACAATTTCCATAATATTTTGAATGAGTGAAAACTTTTAACTATCTATCCATGTTTTGATTGTTTATACTACGTACTTTAACTTTTTACCTGTAACAAAAACATAATATTTTTAAAACAGGGCAACAAAAATATACAAAAAAATGGAAGATATGATGAACGATATGAGATATTTTGCTATCAGCAATTTTAAATTTGACGACAGACAATTAAAAGCTCTCATATCGTCACAGAGTGATGAGGATAACAAACTATTTAACATAGACATATCAAATTTAAAATGGGAGAAATATTTCCATAACACCATACTTGGAATTAAAAAATACATTTTAAAAGACTCTGAAGATCCAAAAATCAGTCATAAACGCTACCAAAGGTAATATTTAAGACATAATAAGTATACAATTTAGTAAAATAAACGTGTGTTGCAATATTATTTAACTCATATAATAATATATTATTTTATGTTTGCTTTGCAGAATTATGGTTGCTTATTATACTCTATCAACAATAATTTACGGAATTATTTTATATTTTTCTTATGTACTATTGAAAATGGTATTTCCTGTAAATTAAAACGTGATTGTAATATTATATTATTATATATATATATATTAGTATTAGATTAAAAGTAAAATACATTTTAAAAAATACCTCTTTTTTACTAGAAAAAAAAACTATGGCGGGTGGAAACTGTTTATCACAATATAGCCACCAGAACGCTAATTTAAAAAAATTCCTTAATACCAAATATTGAATTTTAATTGCATCTTAGTAACTTATTAAATGTTGATTTTCATTGTATTCTTAGGTGTGTGTTTTTATTTTATTTTTTTTTGTGGGGGGAGGGGGTTAAAACTCATTTATAAACTGAGTAGATATTAATAGTAATTAGTAATATCAATTCATTACATTCAGTTATTGACTGCCCAATAATAATTTTATCGTATCAAAAACATACTTACAGCCTACAGGCACCAGCTCGTAGATCATAATATTCATAGACCATCAAATATTATGTGATATCCACACTAAATTTTAATTCTAATGCCGGTCCCACATGACTGTATAGTGTGTAGTCTGTGAGCATCATAATCGTTAATGCTTGCGTGTTAAATTTACTTAACGATAATATCTCTGTTCCCACACGATATTCCTTTGACTCGTGTCGCTTTTACTGATAACGGCGATAACCGATGTGTAACACCGACATAGTCGTCGAGTGGAAAATATATAATCTCCATTATGCTTTGCAATTAAACGCTCCCACTCTAACCTAATCTAACCTTTGAATTTTGAATACACGAGTTGTGATAGGGATCGGCTTTAGAGAATAGAAGTTTCATTTTGTATTATTGTTGTCTCTATTTTCGACCCCTTATTAATAATATACCTACTGATTGTCATCTTTAAATTTGTATGACCTTTACTTAACAAAAAATCATTCATTTTTCCCTATAAGAGTATTTTTGTTCTGGAGAGTATATTTTTTTCGGAAAAAATATATTTGTTTTGTGATACTGATATCATTTGCAGCGTTGTGTGATGCGGTCGTACGCTTAACTACTGAAACGCTTTGAGTGTGCGTACCGGTCGGTGTTGCTAGCTCCTGGATGGGCGACCGCTCAGGTTTTTAGCAACAAATTCATGCTACAAATACAAAAAACGTGTTTCAACCAACCGTTCTCCCCACGCAGTTATGTTGTAGGTATAGTATAGTAGTTGAAGCCTTAATTCTAATAATAACAATAATAATAAAAAAATAATTCATTATATGCCCAATTATTTTAACACATAATAGTTATTTAACATTCTTTGTAAATTATAATTAGGGCACATTTTTATTATCTTTCTAATATTATAATTAGCATATTCATTTTATTTTACGTATAAGATTAAAATCTTTATTTTATACCTTTTAGTAAAACATTTCAAACATATATTATTGGATAATTCCAAAAATTAGTGTTTAAAATCTTAACGTAAGGTTGAAATGTTTATTACAATGAAAAAACTGTTCGTTCGGTATTCGTATATAAATCTATAGGTAGCAAATATGTTTAGTGAAATTTTATGCTTCGGATTATGAAATTAAGTAATAATTGATAACCATCAAAAGTAGAATAAAATGTTGAGTAATTAGTAAATACAAGATTAAAAAAAAGGACGACATAAAAATATATTTAAATTACATTTTCTAAAAAGTGAATACTTTTTGAAATAATGTACGTTATTCACTATTGAAATTCAATCGCACTGGCTTGAGAGCAATTAATATGTACATTTTTTTCCAAAATCCATAGAAAAAAAATTGACAAATTATATTGGAAAATATAATCTTATTTCTTCTGAATTTATCATGATCAATCGTTTAACTACTCATACTAGTCTTGATGAAAGATATGTTTATTAATTAATCATTATGTAGTGCATACATGATGTACTATAATCATGATGCATAATCTTAATTCAATGTTTGATCAATGCATCATTTGCAGTTCAATACGACTTTAAGTATTAAGTTTTAGTTTCTTACTCTATCATGGTGTTAACTTTTAATGAGAAGAGACCTGATTTTAAATCTGTTACATGCATATAAATATATTATGCTAGTCGAGATTTTTGATTACTTTACAAAATTGGTAGAACAATCCGCACTCGTGTGAATATACATTTTGGTAGGTATAATAAAATCTAATCAAAACAAATCTAAAAATGGATGAAAGTGATCCTGTAAAATGAGTATGGGTGCACACGTTTCTATACAGCTGATATAATAACATATGTGTATGTTATATATACAGGTATTAACTGTGCCAGGTATATATATATATAGGTAGGTACATATATGAATCTCCGGGGAATAGAAAATAGTTAGAGATGTCGAGAACTATTAAAAATTTTACCGCTATTTTGGTGGTAATTCCAATGCTGGGATTTAAAATTATAGTTTGAAATGATGAAAAATTTGAGGTAGAAACGTTTCACACTTGAGGATCTACTGCAGTGGTTTTCAAACTGGGTGCCGCGAGTATCCACAAGGTGTGCCGTGGTTTTTCCATAAATTACCTATTGCATTGAATTGCGATATATATATATATATGAAAATAAATGCTTTCGATAATAATATCTATAAAAGCATTGACTATTATTTTGCCGTTCTCAACCTCATATCTTTGTGAACAAGGGTTTTCAGCACTTACGAATATAAAAAATAAAAAAACGAGAAAAATTAAATTCAGTGAAGGAAGAAATGCGGGTATAATATGTCTGTCAACTATTCGTTCAAGAATTAAAAATATTTGTAATGCCCAGCAGGCACACACTCCTCATTAAATGTACCTATGTATAAACTACACTTTTTTTCGTAAATAAATTTTATAACTAATTACTAATACAATGTAATAATTATAATAAATAAACATTTGTTAGTCGATAAATCACACATTTCTAAAAAAAATGTATATAAAATTGTACTTAATATAAAACAATTTTGTTCGTCTAAATAAAGGTTAGTGTGCCGAAAAATGTTTTTGAAATGTACGGTGTGCCGTGTATAATAAAAGTTTGAAAACCACTGATCTACTGCAAAGACGTTATTCGAACAACTGACATCGTGTAGCATGTAGGACGTGTTGACGGTATTTAAATTGGATACCGGTACCGGTATTTAAGTATTTTAACTAGTACCTTATACTGGTACTTTATACCGGTACTCAAACTGTGAAAATATTTTAAGTTTAAAGTACGGTCTGTCTCCCGTATACCATGCGTAAACTGTGCGGTTTACCTACTACCAAAATATACCAAATAGTTATTGAAAATATTTATAACTATATTATAACTAATTCAACGCGGGTCAAGTAATAGATAACCGTATTCGTATAATTATTAATAACTATAATTATTACTTACTTCATACTCGTTTATGACAGTGAAAAACCGTATATTTATTGTGGCGGCGAATAACAAGAAAATTGTGAACACGAGCCATACGGTTACTCGGAATCACTGACCATTGGAGAACGCCCGTGCTCGGAATCCAGTGACAGTGTAAGTACCTTGATACACTGGATACTGGAATACCGAAAAATCTAGACGAGGTTGACGGTATTGAAATCTGAGACTAATTTAGGATCGGTGCACACCCCCCCATCACAACCATTGCCGGTGTTTTTCGCGGTTTTGGTAATCTGCACGGGTTAATGGTAACCTACCAACTTTTATCATGTTTCATATTGGTCACGGTTGCTCTACATATATTATCAAGTATTGGTAAACGCCTAGACCACTCGTCGACAGAGTTTAAATAATTCAACTCCGTGGTAACCTGCAGCAGTGGTATCAGTTGCTCGATAACGTGGCGAAAACGCTACGTCCCAAAATTTAGCTTTTTTTTCGAGCGTGCCATGAAAAATATTAATGTATAATATCATAATATAATATATCATGAGAAAAAAGTTATCGTAAATAACGTCTGCTGTCAATGAATATATAATAACAATATTTAAATTTTTTGTGTGCCCTCAAAACGTTTTAGCGTTCCACGGATTTCCCATCCCTGTATAGAGGAGAGTATCATTTCGCGCGGCTGTAAAACGAACGCGTAAAAAGTGGAACGCAACGCCTCTGTCATATTTTTATTGCCGAAATCGGAAACGTTTTTGGTTATTACTCGCACGCGTTTGATTGTGATTATGGTACCTTATTGTGCCTACTATATATTATTTTATGCGTAGGAATGAATCAAATTAAATGGACTGTGATTTTCGACTTATCCGACGCCATCGTAACCGTAAGTACACCTTTAATCTGTATACCTAGCTATAAGTCACTCGAGTGCGTATAATAATTACGTTCGTTTATAAAAATAAATTACGTACAATACGCGGCGATGACGTTATCTGAATATCAATGTCCTTGGCCCGACACCGTACACCGTACACCATTGGAAATGATATTTTCCGGGCCGCTGTTGTGTTGCGTGATCGAATTTTTATTTACATAAAATATGTCATATCACGATTATTACCGCGTAAACGTAAATTAATATTGTGTGTCCGTAACTCAGATCATAATATACTTTATATTAAGAGTTGCGATCTAACGTCCGTAATAACCGCGCGGATCAAGTTTGACCTTGTAGGGGCGGGCGGCCGTCGCCGTCTTTGTCCTATTTACACGCCACCGTGATGACTATTGTTATACTATTATAATTGTTTTTTAATAGATACATGTGTTTCCGCAGTGTTCTCGGCCAGTTTAAGGTACCTAATTATATTATAATGTGTAAATAATAGATAAACCCTATTTCTAAACTCCCGCAAATCCGTACCATACAAGCGTTCCCAAGCGCACACCCAAGGGGGTGGCTAACGGGCTTTAGCCCC